AAGGTAGAGAAGCCCTAGAATTCTGTCAGCAGTGTAATGGCCACTCTTGCAAGAGTGCAGAAGAGCAGAACACCAATAGAAGTACTTAAGAGGGTTCAAGTACTCTATTGGAAATGGGCATTCAAACTGTAACATCTGCTTGTGTCCTGCTATCCTGAGTGAAGCTGAATTATGTTGTGAACTAATTTATTTGGTGGAGGGAATTGTAAAACAGTGTAGTACACAGGTTGTAGCATAGCTATGGCACACTGTTACAGAGAGGGAGAGAAAACATTAATAACATGTGCAGTTTGGTGGGGGGGGGATATGAGCAGATTTGAAACTCTGAATGAAGTGGTTTGAACAAACAGACAGTGTTGTCAAAAAGATAAATCTAATGATCAAGAGCCAATGAGAGGTCTCAGGTATCTGCTGCCAAGTTTGACAGCCTGAGTATGATTGCAAGGACCCACATGGTAGAAGGGGAAACAGACTCCTCCGAGTTGCCCTCTGACCTCCGTGCATACACAAATGTAATACAATTTAAATGTTTGAACTTTGTGTTGGGACAAGATGTAAGGGACAAGAAAGAGAACTGATAACTTGAGGGCAAGACTTCACTGACAGAAGATTCATCTGAAAGGAGAGGGCTGGATTAGAGTCTCTAGTAACATACTCAAATAGGACAACCTAGGAAAATGTCTAGGTCCAGCTCTGCAGTAGACCTGACACATGGAGAAGACTTACAGATAATCATGCATTTCCATCTCTACACATTAGATAAATCCAACGTGCTTCATCCAACTGATGGAAGTGGTTTAAAAGGAGGAGGTAATCATGAGAAGACTTTAATACCATTATTCTTTATCTTCTGTTTATGTGGATACAATTTTGCCATTATCAAAAAGGCTATTCTTTATCTTCTGTATGGTTTTTTTTTTTTTTGCATCTTTGTCAAAAAGTAGTTGGCTGTATCAGCATGGATTAATTTCTAAGTTCTTTCACTTGTCTTTAAATGTCATATTCTTTATTACTGTACAGCCTTTAGTATTATGACAATTCCTAATGTGCTGAGAATTTATCAAATGCTTTTTCTACATATATTGTGATAACCACAGGGATTTTGTCCTTCATTTTGTTACTGTTCTGCATCACATTATTGGCTTGAATATGATGAATCATCCTTACATCCCTAGGATGACTCCTACTTGGTTATGGTATGTTTTTTGTTTTTTACATTTTATTTTCTGTTTTACAGAAACTTTGGTATGTCAGTTCCTTTAAATTGCCTTACAAAAAGAGGTGGACAGGATTCCTTTCATCTCAATTTATTGTAGCTAACACATACTAATTGTACAGACTAGTGGTCCACTATGGTGGACATACATCATGCCCTTCTACACTTCTCTCCTCCCTGAACTCCTCAGTCTTTACTTATCTATTGCCTGTGCTTTCAAGTTGCTGTGTGTTAATTTTCAAGTGTGAGCGGGAACATGCGATCTATAAATCTGTGTCTAGCTTTTTCACTTAACATGACATTCTCTGGTTCCATTCCCCTGTAAACAGCCTCAACCAGGCCAGTGTAGTGGTGTCTAGAGATGAGAAGATCGAGGAAAGAAGTTGTGGGCCTTCAATTACTGTTTCAAGCCCACTGCTCATCTGTTCATACTTTGTTTCTTGGCTAAATTTTGGTAGGCTGTGTGTGTGTTCAGGAATTTAATCATGCCTTGTATAGTTTTTTGGAATTTAGAAGAATGGTTCATAGTTTCTTCTTTGTATTTTTATGATATCCATCCTCTATGGTTTTATTTGCGTCTTCACTTCCTTGCTTAGTCTATTTACAGGTTTGTTGGGATTTTTAAATCTTTTTAAAAAGGCAACTGGTCTTTTACACTTTCTTTATGGTCTAAATTTTATTTCTGATATGACCTTTATTCTATTTTTATGTATTTATTTGTTGCATAGCCTATCTCAATATTTCTTCTAATGTGTTGTCATTTTCATTTGTTCCTAGATGTTTTATTTCCATCTATAAGGTCATTTAAGAGCAATCTGTTTCCCTTGTATATTCTCCTTTCTTGACTTACAGTTTTACTCTGTTGTGACTTCTTTGTTTTAAGACAGGTTCTCACCCACACGGCTCAGGCTGGCCTCAAATGTGGAATTTTCCTGGCATCCCTAGTGCTGGGATTATAAGCACGGGCCACTGCACTGAGACTTGCATTTCTGGCCTAGTATCTAATCTTTCCTAAAGAATGCGGCATGTAATGAAAAGAATGTGTACTCTGCAGCTGCAATAAATATTCTGTAAATGCCCACTTGCTTTAGAGTATGGCTCAACTGGATTTTCTGTCTGTCTGCTAAGGAAGGTAATACTGAAATCCCCAGGTATTAGTATAGTGGAATATATTCTCCCTTAAGAAATAGTAATATATCTAACTGTTAAATCTTCTAAGTTGATCCATTCCTTAGTATGTAAGGATTTATGTCTTTTTCCAACCCTTACTGCATCTTTACCAGTAAGTGTATTTCTTATAGGCAGCAAAGTTAGAACGTGAGAAATTCTACATTGCAAAGTAGACAAAGGAACATACTAGTCATAAAGAGGTTACAAAACCCACTCCTAACCATGACGTAGTTTGTAGGAGGTTTGGTTCTGTTTCTTTCATAGTAGATATATGAATTCAACTTCCTGGGAATTCAAGTACTAAGAACCATTTTTAAAAAACAGTGAGTAATGTAGTTGACAGTGAAGTTTAAGCCTGAGAGAAGCTCTAGGCTTCAGAATGGACACTCTAGTGGCACAGAAATGTACTGAGATGGGCAGAGCAGGAAACGGAGCAAGTGTCTGAGTGGATTCCTTAAAACAGCTGTGTGGTATCTTTGTGGGCTAATTAGATTTTTAAATCTACTTTATATGTTGTCTCTGGGCTAAATGATAGCTAAATTTCCTTCAGTCATTGATGGTTTTCTGTAGTTTTGCTTCATCTTTCTTCCTTTTTATTTGGTAGTTTCTGCCATGCAAATGTGAGTTCAGTACATTCATGTGTTTTGTTACATGGCTAAATGCTGTTATTGGAATATATAATCTGACTCCATTTTGGCCTAATAGGTTTCTGCTGGGAGAGCTACTATATAATAATAATAAAGCTAATAATAAAACTAAGAAATAGTAATAATAGTAAACAAAGCTAATGTGCATTCTCCAAGTTACTTCTCTTGCTGTCTTCAGAATTACTTTGTACTTCTAACATGTTCACTATAACTCTCCTTTGGCGAAGTCTGTTTTCTATTGAACTTGGCTGTTCTGAGCTTCTAATGTCTCTCTGCAGATCTGAAAAGTTCTCACTGACTTTCACCTTTCCTTTACTCATTAGAAGTCCTATTTCCGGGACTTTAACAAACACTTGTTCACTTCAGAGTGCTCTGTAAGCCTCACACAATTTCTTGTTCGGTGTTCACCCATAGTGTATGCAAATAAAGCAAGGGTAACATCAGAGCGTGCGGCTTTGTCTGCAGTTCTGGAACTCTGGGACATGGATGACTACTGTTCTGATCTGAGGGACAGCTGTGAATAACACTGGAGCTTTCTATAGCTGTGGCCCTAAAACTGTAGGTGAGAGCTTCTCTGGTTCCTACATGGTAAATCCCACTGATGCCAGGTTCTCATGAGACAGTGTTAGCTGTGTTTCTAGAAGTTGGAACTTCTTCGGTTTTCTTTCCTGGGAGACAGCAGTAATAGCACTGGGATTTGGACACCAGCAAATAGGTATGAGTGAAACTCAGAAGAGCTGCCGCCTATTCTCTGAGTTACAGTCAGTCCTTCCTTCAAGGTGGGATGGTGGCCTAGCAGTGGCTGGTGAGGAGCCTGGGCTGTGAGAGGCAGTGAATTGCTCTTGGAGCAGCTCCTCCCACAAAGGATCTCAGACCGGAGGACTGTGGGGTCCTGTGGTTAGGCCACCTGTCTGCTGCAGACGGTACTAATGCCATTTTACTGCCTACCCTTTCCCTTGCAGTAGAGGGAGGGACCACTGGCAAGGATTGCTGAAGTGCTGCAGTTTGCTTTGTCCTAGATTCTCGTGCCTTTCTGATTAAATGCTGATTTCTAGAGTTTTCCTGGCCCCTCAAAATACACTTTTTCTATTGAGTGTGGGAACACATGCTTTGAATCCCAGCACTTGGGAGGCTAAGGTGCAATCTCTGTGAGTTCAAGGCCAGCCTGGTCTACACAGACAGTTTAGGGTTGCATCTCCTCACATGCACAGTTGCATGCAAGGCACTTCCAGACAGCCATCTGGATCTTTCTCCATAAATTTCCAATCAGGTCTTCTTGCTTGGTTACTTAATAATCATTAAGAAAAAAATGATTTCAAAAATTTCCCACGATACATGAGAATTTTTTGATTGTCTTGTTTTTGAGACAGGGTTTCTCTGTGTAGCTTTGGAGTCTGTCCTGGAACTCCCGCCACCCTCTGCCTCCCAAGTGCTGAGAAAAGGCATGCACCACCACCGCCCTGTCGAGTACAACAGAATTTTAATGGCTTGCCATTAAGAGCCAGCCCTGGGACATATCTACATATTCCATCACTTGGTTTCCGAAACTCTTGTTATAACTGGTAAAACTCCTATTAGTATTCTTTCCTCTGTTTGTAGATATGTATGGGATAAACTAAATCATGTTTCATTTGACTAGAAAAAAAATATTAAAAAGAATAAAAAGCGGGCTGGCTGTAGTGATGTACACCTTTAATCCCAACACTTGAGAGGCAGAGTAAGATGGATCCCTGTGAGTTCAATGACCTGCTGGGCTACACTGAGAGACCCTGACTTGAAAAACAAAAACAACAAAAAATAAAGAAAGAGGAGAAACCTAAGTATTTTTAATGCTTCAGTGACATACCATGTGAAGGTGTTCTTACTATAGGATCTGGGAGTGAATACAACACAGTGTGAACCACAGACAGTAAGATGCTGCACGAACTATGAGCTTCAACAGGAGAGCAACATGAAAATACCCTTACCTCGTAATGAGCAAACAGGCCCGCTTTCCTGGTTCTTAGAGCGCTTGCTTCTGAACTGACTTGGAATATCTAAGGAGAGATCTTAAAAGGAGAGAACCAGAGCTGTTAAAGGCATTTGACTTCACTACAGTCTTACTAAAAAAAGAAAAGAAAAAACCATGGTAGCACATACCCTGGCCAGTATCCCTTACCTAGGAATGGATCAAACTTCCTCGACTCTGTCCCACATATGAGGCAGTTGACCTCATTCTGGAGAATTCCTCCGAAAATTGCTGTGACAACAGTTGATGCTCCATTTCTAAAGAAACACCACATGGGAAACAGCTCACAAAATTGCTCTTTTAATTCTTAACACTAATGTGCACATAGATATCATATATGACTGTATATGGGACAGGATGATGGCTTCACCATCAGAAAAGCAGTACTGCCTTGTGTTTTAATCTTTCACTTTGTAAGGCCTTGTTGAGGATGCAGAATGCTCCAAACAACTTGATCACATATCCTCAACCTGAGGAAGTAAAGACATTTAATACAAATTGAGTAATGACTGCTGTTGGTAAGAAAAAACGCTATAGTTCTTCCCTGTAAACAGCACTACAATTTCGTACAAACAGTGTAGATAAAAACTGCACCACCTTGTCAAGCAAGGAGAAACTAAGCACCTTAATGCTGTGTGACAGTTCTACCTCTGCTCCAGCTGCGAGGACACAAGAGCTACTGGAAGAGCACCCGACCAAGACTTGCTAGACGAGAAGTCCTCATACCAAGCAGCACTTCAGGTGCTCACCATTATTTATCAGCAAAAAGTCAGGCAACACCTCCTCTTGCAGCTATTTTTTCCCGTAGTTTGTTTGCTGGTTTCAGACCTACCATGGGCTCAGGAAGAAGAAAAGGGCACCTGGAGTAACAAGTGTCCTGTGTGTGAGCTCCTTTCTGAACACCAATGTTTGTGAAGTAAGCACTCAAAGATACATATACACTGCTGTCCTGATTTGCAGACCAGAACACTGAAACACATGGTCAGGACCCAGCTCAGGTCATGCAGCTGCTCTCCACATTAAGCCCATATTTAACCAAGACACTATCAATACATATTGAGGTGAGTCAGTGCTCTCATTAATGGTGGTATATTGAGCCGGACATTGGTGGCACACGCCTTTAATCCCAACACTCGGAAGGCAGAGGCAGGTGGATCTCTGTGAGTTCGAGGCCAGCCTGGTCTACAGAGTGAGTTCCAGGACAGCCTCCAAAGCTACACAGAGAAATCCTGTCTCGAAAAACCAAAAAAATAAACAACAACAAAAAATAGTGCTATAATGGCCAAAGGTCAGGCTGCACACTTTTAATCCCAGCACTCAGGAGGCAGAGGTAGGCAGAACTCCAAGAGTTCAAAACCAACCTGATCTACATACAATGACTGAACAGAGACCCTGTTTGTAATAACAGTAATAATAATATTATTACAACAAATACTTGCTTGTGAACCTTGTGAGATTAAGCAATTACTTGACTCAGAAAATACCTTTTTGCCTGCAGCAACCAGTTTCTCCTATACTGAACAGAACTTTCTGTACCACACCAAGTTAAACTTACTGCTATGATGTAGAAAAAAACCTACCCAAGTAACTTCTGCACTATAAGCAAAAGAAATGGATTTTAAAAGGCCAAAGGATGTTAGAAACTACAGGACATAATAACCATTTCAGGTTTTCCATTTATGCCTGTGTCATAGCCAAAGAACACACAAATTCTACTGAAAATGAATGGGATGGGTACAACTGAGCCTTGAATGCCAGTGTACATATGCAAAGTTGCCTTTAACTGAAATGGAAACGGCTTCATTAAAAAGCGGTACATTAGCTGGGCATTGGTGGCACATGCCTTTAATTCCAGCACTTGGGAGGAAGAGGCAGGTGGATCTCTGCAAGTTCGAAGTCAGCCTGGTCTACAGAGTGAGTTTCAGGACAGGTCTTAAAACAATACAGAGGAACCCTGTCTTGAAAAAATAACCAAACAAAAAACAAAACAACAACAAAAGAAAGTTGTACATTAAAACTCATTCCCCATAATCACTTCCTGGGAAAAGTCAAGTTTCAGCCATCCAAAGGGCATGGCTTTAGGACTGATAAAAAATTTCCAAAGTGCTTGCTGTTCTGTTGTATTAGCACTAATGACTGAGCATTTCTCACTCTCTTTTCTTAAATTTATATATATATATATATATTATATATATATAGTATAAGTGCTCTGTCTGCATGTATGCCCGCATGACATAAAAAGGGGATCAGATCCTATTACAGATGGTTGTGAGAGCCACCATGTGGCTGTTGGGAATTGAACTCAGGACCTCTGGAAGAGCAGCCCGTGATCTTAATCTCTGAGTCATCTCTCCAGGCCCCCCTCTCTGGGCATTTTTAGCTCATTACCACCCCACTCCTAGCTTTAAGAAGTGCTTTTAACTAGTATCACTAGATCTTGAAACATCTCCTCCCATGAACTGAAGGAAATAAAGGGAATGCTTTAGTATTTGATATTTTTTCTTCTAACTTGCAATTAATATTCTTTAAATAGACTACTATTAAAACTGGTCCTAGAAGAATATCCTTTCAAGATTATACAATGTAATTCCACTGGAATGCCCAAGGCTCCTAAGATACTTGAGGACACATATTCTCTCATTTCATATGGACTCATTTCATAAAGCCAGTTCAGTATTTTTTATATATGAATATGCTATAATGGTATGTAAACAACTTTTTATTTAACACTGTTTTAAAACTGGCACTAGGAGAACAAACAGCTTGACTGGATCTTAAGTCTTCCCTTTCTACAGTGTGCTCTTATTGGAACTTCAGGGTCCTGAAGGAACCTAGCAATCCACACCAGCCACTCTTCTGTGACACTGCAGGATTTGAAGGTGAGTGCCAATTACCAGAAAGTGCTAGTCAACCCCACTCCTTTCTTTCTGTTAGGAAGGTGTCTTACAAATCCCTCTGCTACATAAAGAATCCTACAGAGAGAATACTGATGACTGAAAGGGCTGAGCACAGTGAAGGACTCAGGAAGCAGGCACACTCTGTAAGTTCCAGGGATACAGAGTAAAGCTGTCTTTAAAAGCATGTAAATGACTAGAATCCAGACTGAAATAATACTTTCCTTCTCAGCAAAATAGCTGCTCTGATACCAGAGTATGTTTCAGGCTATTAATATGAAGGAAATAAGACAAAAGGTTTTGTTCATAGTAAGGGACAAGAAAAAATTCTGAAAATTTACAAATTTCTCAGTTTCACTAAAGAAGAAATGCTTTTAGCAACCATATTGGCACTGTGTGTGCATGAGACAGAATCTCACTACTAGCTCAGTCTGGAATTGGACTCATAATAATTATCCTTTCTCACAATCCAATGTTCTGGGGTTACAGATTTGGGTTCCCACTCTCAGTAGTAGTACATGTATACTATCTGGTAGAAACGTTTTTAAATGTTAATTAAATCTCACCAAAAATAATGAGAGCCATACCAAGATCTAAATGTAAATGCTTATTTAAATGAAAATGTAAAAGCACAAGGCACAAACACCCACACACATCAGCAGACATTTAGCTAAGTCTTACATGCAGCATTTGTTATTTGCAGACAGAGTAGAATTCTCCTGTAGAATCGCTGATCGGGGAACACCATTGAAGCCACCCTGAAGTTCCAAGTGTAGGTGATCCAAAAGGTAGCGCATGAATTCGTGTGCATCTTGCTGCTGATAACCCCTTGAAGTAAACAAAAACAGTGTGTCAGGAGGCTCTCCCTACCCATCAAACACCATGATGGACTGCAGTCCCATGCTCACAAACATGCCTCCAATTCCCACCCTCTGCCTCACCAGTTGCACACATAACACATTATTTCTCTTAATTTCAAAAAACCATGGAGTTAATTGGCTTTGCAGTGATTTTTCACTGACTTCTCCATTTCAGAAACAAATTAAGGGACAAGTTAGGGGAGGGAGTGGCATGTGACTTACCTTAAGTCCCACAAGAGAGTCCTATGAGACAGCACACAAATTTAGACCTCTTGAATGGGCCCTGAAATTTCCCATCCTCCCATGGGTCCTCTCCAGAAAGGACCTGAATGTTTAACTTAACCTAACCTGAAAACCATGTCTTAAGTTTCACTAAAAGAACGAAGAAATTTAGAACAAGTATATGTGTTTAAAAAGTCATTCTTCAACCTAAGAATTAAGTTTATCTGGGCCTGATACAGAGATAGCTCAGTCAATCTCTGCAAGCATGAGGACCTGAGTACAGTTCGCAGAAGCCACGTGAAACAGCTGGGCACAGCACCACACAGCACATGCCTGTCATCCCAGCACTGGTGAGGAGGAGAAAAAAAAAAAAAAAAAAAAAAAAAACAGCCCCCAAGGGCCTCCTGGCCAGCTCAACCAGCCTAGCTCAATCAGCAAGTTCCTAATTCAGTAAACCATCTCATCTCAAACAGAAAAGGAAAGGGTGGAGGTAAGTTAATTAATTGTAAAAAAAAAAAAAATAGTTATCTATTTAAAAAAAGAAATACCAAGCTGGGTGATGGTGGCACATGCCTTTAACCCCAGCACTCAGGAGGCACAAGCTAATCAGATATCTATGAGTTCAAGGTCAGCCTGGCCTACAGAGCAAGTTCCAGGACAGCCAGAGCTACAGAGAAACCCTGTCTCAAAAAAAGAAACAAAAAAAGAACAGATACAACCATGATCTCCATAAGTGTACACACACACACACACACACACACACACACACACACACACACACACACACACACACGATATCTAATATTCTGTACTTCCATCTTTTGGGCTAGAGAATACGTTCTTTTAAAAATGCATTGACTCATACACAAATTATGCATCATCCTAAACTTGAATACATTTAGCAACTTTTTGTTTTGTTTTGTTTTCAAGACAAGGTTCTGTGTAACAGACTGGCTGTCCTAGAACTAGTTCTATAGACCAAGATGGCCTTGAACTCACAGAGATCCGCCTGCCTCTGTCTCCCAAATGCTGGGATTAAAGGCGTGCGCCACCAGCACTTGGCACATGCAACGTATTACTTCTTACATTATATGGGAGAGGGGACTTCATGGGATTCTGACACTAATCCAGATCAATGACTAGTGAACAACAATGAAGAGATCCAAATAAAAGAAACAATGATATTTAAAATGTATTCTAAAACTATGACAGAAAAGTGTCCTATACACCTTTCACAATTAAGGTTCTCCTTAAATAGTAAATTGGTCTGGTGACTTTGAAGAGTCACTCTTTCAGACAAATTCCCTTTCAGTCACAGTTTCCCATAATATATATGTTTGCCCTTTCCTAGAAATTACAAATTATGGGCAATTTCCCTAATTAACGGAACTTAAAATCAGAAGTAACTTTATTCACTATAGTGTGTCTTAAATATAAAATACTCAGGAGGCATAAGCAGAAAGGTCTCTAAGTTCAAGGCCAGCCTGATCTGCAGTTCCAGAACAGCCAGGGCTACACAGAAATCCTGTTTCAAAAAACAAAACAAACTATCCAAGTGTAGAGTCTATAAATATCCAAAGTTGGTAGTTCATTTACATACAAAGGAAGGAATTTAAACCAGTTCAACACATGTACTGGTCTTCATGACTCAAAGGTTAAGATTAAAAAATATGCCTGATACATGCTAAGGCATTTCCCAATTATACTGTGATTCTCGAATACCCTAAACATTGTCCTCAACTTACCTGAGCTCACAAACAACTGTTCTATAAAGTTAAGAGTTTCTGTTTAAAATTTGAATTTTAGTGAAACCAAACTCACTGCTTTTTTTCTGATTCTGAATTTTAAAATGCATTTACATTGTATCCCTTTAGAAATACATAGATAAATCCCAGCACCTGGGAGGCGGAGGCAGGAAGACCTCAAGCTCAAGGACAGCCGAGGCCACACAGTGATTGCCTGTCTCAAACCAGAAAAAGAAAGGAAAAGTTAAAAAAAAAAAAAAAAAAAACATGGCTGGGTGGTGGTGACAAACACCTTTAATCCCAGTACTCCGGAGGCAGAGGCAGGTGGATCTCTGAGTTTGAGGCCAGCCTGATCTACAAAGTGAATTCCAGGACAACCAGGGCCCCCCCCAGAAAAACCCCGTCCAGAAAAAGAAAAAAAAGAGTAAGACATGCCTCCGAAAAGTCTATCAGTCTAGGATAAACACCCTTGAAAATTATCTAAAACACATTAGAGTTTTCTTTTTCTTTGGGTATGGAGGATGGAACAAAGTCTTACTGTGTGTGTAGCCCACCTCAAATCTGTAGTCCTCCTATGAGAGCTCTTTACTGAATGACTTATTATTATGCTGTTTGCATACCTGGTAGAATTTTAAGTTCTAGTCAACATTCATAAAAGAATTATAAGTTACCCCTTTGGCCAAAATATATTGAGCTATTTTTTGCCCAGTGCTTGGTACTGTCATATAAAACATGAAAATGACAGAAATGAATGTGTTTACCAACAAATGCAGAAGCATGGACAGCACACTTCCTATTAAAAGAAATAACACTGCTAAAATAAAAAACACACAGTATTTTAAAGTCCTCCACAGCTATCCCAAAAGATCTTTTATATGTCTAGAAAGCCAAGAACCACTACATATAAGGCAAAATCATTCTCAATGAATTTTAAAAAGCTATGTTTTAGGTAGTTGAGGCAGTTAAGGTTGTACATGAAGGCAGAAATGCAAATGAGTACCACATAACCTGATTTAACTTCCAAAGAGGTTCCCAAGGAGTGAACAAGCTGGATCCTAAAGAAAGAGTCTGGAACCACAGGGCAAACTCATGTTGATGGAAGCAGGAGTAACAGAGGCTACCATAAAAGACCATCCAAATTACAAGATCACAAACACCCAGCAAGTTCACATTCTAATAACTACACATATGTACATAGGCTGTTCATCTCAGCAACACACATGTACATACCTAGAAACAAATCAACAGGAAAGTGGCTATTCATGAAATACTTATTTTTAAAGTTAAATACACTTGAACATGTACAAAGATTATCACTGGAAGCACACGTGGAGATCAGCTAACAGGTTGCTTCCAGAAAACAGAAGGATAGTGAGGGACTGGAGTGAAAGAAACAGTGCCTATTCTAATCTTCATCTTTTACATTTTTAACCATGCGTATTTTGCCTGCTAAAATAAACCTGAATGTATTTTTCTTTTAAAAAAATGGACAAGGCTGGGCATACTAGGAAGCCATACAAATAGTAAGAGGATATGCACAGTGGAATATGAAGAAACTTTGCCTGCTAGGTAACTGGCTTTTGGTTCCGATGGGGGAAAGTAGCCTTAATGTGTACACAAAGGCTGCTGGCTGCATTCATTGTTTTTGCCTATGCTCACTTTGTAAATGAAAGATTCTACTACTTCTACATGCATGTTTATGTTTCAGAACCCTCAAATTTCATTACAGGAGTCAGCTTCCCTAGACCTTGTCCTGTATTAATGAAGGAAAGCAGGCTTTACCAACAGGAAAATGGTCTGAGTTATAAATAAACACAATGGGAACATAACTCTAGACTTGCTGTGCTTCCTTCAACATGACCATGGTTTAACACTCACTGTTACCTATTCGTAAGGGCCCTGAGAAGAAGTCCCTACCCATGGTGCTCAGCAGCTCAGACCTCACATGACAGCCCCACCTCTAGGCTTACAACTCGCTCAGTGCTATGTGGTAATAATCTCAAGACCTGCATCTTTGAGTACACAAAAATTGGGAACATTCTCAGTTTCTGCAGTAACTCAGGAGACATCAGAATTCATGTGTACCAGAAGTCACCCTAGAGACTGGGTAAATTTCAACCTGGTTATCTCTTCTGAAGTTCTCTCATTTATCAGTAGAAATATTAAATCAGTATATCCAGCAGTTAAACCAAACCATGCTGACAGTTGGGCTATAGGAACCAGAAGGGGCAGTAATGAGGTGATGTTTGGAGAAAAGCAGATGGCACTGCATCAAATTATGGTGTGTGTCAAACATTCAAGATGGAAGAGCAAGGAAACCACACCACGATTCACTAAAGCTCCATCTGCTATGAACTATCTCCTAAACACTTGGCTTCTAATTCTGGTCAGACCACCAGGTAGATGTGTAAGAATGAACAAGATGTTTTAACTTCTCTAAACTTAAAGATAACACATCCTGCCTTGGCCAAAATACTTTGCTGCTTTGTTTTTAATAAGGATAAATTACCTAGGGCTTGCCACATAGTAAATATTCAATACACAAGAACTATACAAGTCTATGTACAGCTCTAGCCTGAGGAGTGGCATCTGAGCCCTCATCTCTGCTTCTCCTGCTTACAGTCAGGAGAGTCTAAATTACTTAGAAATCTCTTCTGAGGAGACTTTAAAAAGACCAGGGTTAAAAGTCATTAAGTCAGACACTCAGAGGCTCAACTCATTTGGGTAAGCAGTAAATTACAGGTCTTTGATTTTTTTTTACCACGTATGTATGTATGTATGTATGTATGTATGTATGTATGTATGTATGTATGTATGTATATATTTTTGGTTTTTTCCAGGCAGGGTTTCTCTGAGTTGTTTATTTACTTATTTATTTTTGGTTTTTTGAGACAAGGTTTTTCTGTATTGTTTTGGAGCCTGTCCTGGAACTCCCACTGTAGACCAAGCTGGCCTCGAACTCACAGAGATCCGCCTCTGTCTCTCGAGTGATGGGATTAAAGGTGCGTGCCACCAATGCCTGGCAATTTTTTTACCTTTGAAACATTTCTCTATACTAAAAGGTACAAGAAATATCATTAAATTTCACTACAATGTGTAGTTTTTAAACACAGGATATATGCAAGGTGACAAATGATGACTTTTATTGAAGCATAAAAGAATAAAGTCAGTCAAATGTGGCAAACACTGGCATACCATACATCTGTAATGACCAAAACTCTCACCGAGATGGCTAGCCAAGAGAGGCAGGACAAGCTAAGAGAAAGGACAGGTGACTGTGTAGGAGTGGCCCTACTATCTCCCAAAGTGTGACTCCTAGTCAGCCTGGATTAATCCTTCTAGAGCCCTAGAACCTGGATGGCATAGTGCCTGGCACTGTGGTTTCTACTGGTTTCATGTCATGTCTTTCTGGTATTACAGACTGAACCTGTGGCCTCAAACGTATCAACCTAGTGCTCTACCAAAACTGAACCTCAGCCCTCATTTCATTCTTTTAGTTGGAATAATAAGATCCCCATGATGACAATTATTTCTCTGTAAGACTTCAAAAAATCGGGGTTGGAGAGATGGTTCAGTGGTTAAGAGCACTGGCTGCTCTTCCAGAGAATCCAGGTTCAATTCCCAGAACCCACATGGCAGCTCACACCGGTCTGTAACTCTAGTCCCAGGGCTTCGGACACCTTCATACAGGGATACATGCAGGCAAAACAATAACATAAAATAAAACTTAAAAAAAAAAAGATTTGAAAGAATCAAGGAATGTTAGTTATCAGTTACATTTTCCTAGCACACATGGGCTACTTATAGAACACTTTAAATAAACCAGTGTTTACTCAATGCTGTCTGCTCATCTAATAAAAGCATTGCTTAGAGCACCTGTGGCGGCAGCAGATTTTTTTGTTTGTTTGTTTGTTTTTTTGTTTTTTGTTTTTTGTTTTTAGAGACTGGGTTTCTCTGTATTGTTTTGGAGGCTGTCCTGGAACTCGCTCTGTAGACCAGGCTGGCCTCGAACTCAGAGATCTGCCTGCCTCTACCTCCCAAGTGCTGGGATTAAAGGTGTGAGCCACCAATGCCCGGCTGGCAGCAGCAGTTTTATGAGAAGCTGAGAAGCAGAAAGAACTGGATGTCTTCAGCACCCTTCAGTACTTACCTGAAGTTAGGCATGATCTTCCAAACAACATAGAACAAGGACTCAGGACTAAATGCAGTCTGGCTGCCTTGCCATAAAGCACACAGTGTCTTCCTAAACTCTTCTACCAGAGACCTGGAAAAGAGAGAAGCTGATAGCATCAGTATTCACCAAAGGCCATTATTTCAACACATATGGCTCAGCTGTCTAAAATACAATAAAAATGAACATTTTTCAAGGGCTTAGTCTTCTAAACTCAGCCTGATAGCTATGTAAGAGCATTTAAATACCCATATGAATAGCAGTATTGTTGACAAAACTAATTTTAACTATAATGAGGGAAGTCCTTCTGTGTATATGTAAATAAAGCACTGTTGGCCAATAGGGAAGCAAGATAGGTGGGACTAGGAGTCTAGGAGGATTCTGAGAAATGTAGTGAGGAGAGTCGTTGCCATGTGATCTTCCCGGGAAGAGAAGGTTAAGTTTGCATTCTCAGTAAGATAAGACCTTATAGAAATATATATTAGTAATTATGGGTAAACAATTAAGTCAGAGCTAGCCGATTAGAAACCATAGCAAACAGCCAACAGCTTCATAATTAATATAGTGTCTTGTGTGTTATTTGGGGATTAAAGCAGCAACAGAACCCGGGCAGGAATCCCGCAACATAACTATATAGTATGTTTGAGCATGACAAGGTACTATCATTTTTTTCACTGAATTTAAAGGAAGCATACAAACAGTAAAGCAATGGATAATTTACAAGCAAATTACTTAAACATGTTCACTTAAAAATATAAACAATAAAACTGAACTAGACTCCCTTAATATAGGTGACAGTGGTGTTACTGGGACAATGTAGGAGGCCACTGGCAGTGGATCCAAGATCTAACTCCAATGCACAAACTGACTTAGTGGAGCCCATTCTATATGGAGAGATGCCTTGCCCAGCCTAGACACAGGGGGATGGGGGTGGAGAGGTGCCTTGGTCCTGCCTCAACTAGATGATAGGACAGACTAAGTAGACTTCCTAGGGGAGGCCTTACCCTCTCCACGGAACAGATGGGAGGAGGGATGTAGTGGGGTTAGTGAGAGGAGAGGAGGGAGGGGGAACTGGGATTGGAATGTAAAAAATAAATAAAAAAAAGTAAACAAGCAACAGAATGTCCCTCCCCATCTCCTGCATGTTTCCATCTTCCCTCAAAGGGCTCTTCCAGATTGTACCTGCTCATCTCTGCCTCAGACAGTGCATGTGGTCACGAGGCTTAGGGCTTACCTCTAACACTGACCCGTAAACCCTAGTCTATAGAAGAGACTTTGGTTTGACAGGTTTTCGTGCTCGTGTCAGGATCTCACTATGTACTCCAGACTATCTTAGACTTGCTATGTAGTCAAGGCTGGCCTCAGACTCAAACTCCTCTACTTCTGCTGGGATTAAAGATGTACCCACCATGTCCAGCATTCATGACTGCTTTTACTTAGGTTTTTCCCATTTATGACAGGAACTTCCCACTGGGCATCCTCTTGGTCACTTCAGTCACTATGTGCAAAGCTTTTCCACTGCTCTGTTCTGTGCTCTCCTGGCCCGGCTCTTTCCCCCAACAGCTCTCCTGCACTTCTTTCACAGGAACAGACCCCCATTTTTCTATCAACATATGAACTCCTAGAATAAGAACCTAAGAGTGTGCCACTTCTAGGAGAATTTCCTCAGGAACAAAAAGTAGTCCTTAGCAACCCCTTCTATTTTCCATAGCTAATACACATTAGTAATGGGAGCTCCCCATTATCTGGGACTATGTGGACAAAAGTCTCTCTCCTGAGCAAGAAGGAGCCTAATGACTTTGCAAAATAATTCCTACAAATAATCTCTTCAATTCATGTGAGAAAATAAAACCTTGGATATTTAAGTTACAGTTAATTTTGATTGTTCTGTGCTAAACTTATAATACTTTTAATTCAGTTACTAGATGTAGCAATATAACCAACCACTCTTGGATACTTGATGGCAGGTTATCTCTGACAGCAAACCATGTACACTAGCCTACCTCCCAATAGACACTGGAACAGCTGTAAAGTGCCCTTTTAGCCTTCCTTGCAATTGGAGCAAAGTACATGACCTGGGTTCTGCAAATTCGAAGCATGAGTTAGGTGACACAAAAAATCAGGAATTTCACTAAATACTCTTTGGAGGTGGCAGAGGTAACAAGTACCACCCCGAGTCCAGAGGCAGGGGTAACGGCTGTGCTGTCTCCAGCAGTGTCCTTAGGGGCAGTTCTGTGCATGACTGTGGATATGGTGCTAGCTCTGCGCCTGATTTTCAGCACATCCAATAACGCAGACTCACCAACAGTTCTTCGTAAATTCTCTTTTTGGCTTAATCCATCTTTAACCAAATTCTAAATAACTCCAATACACCAAGTACTGTTAGGGCTTCTCTTAAACTTTTGCACACATGTATTTTCCCCTTTATTTTCCTCCTGTTTCCTTTAACACAATGGAAGCCCCTTAAATGCAGACACTTTCCTATTCATCCCATATGCTGCCACCAAAAGAAAATCCCTTCACACACCATATGACTCCTTCCTTCTCCATGATGGGGCATTATCTGCATTACCCAATATTCTAACATATCCCCCCCCCACACACACACACTGAGGCAGAGCAGTGCCTCATAAAATGGCCTTTCAATATGGGTATGTGTGGAGGCAGGCAGGAAAAACATTACATGCATACAGGTATGCCATATCTCTGCTTCAGTAAGGGTATGGAAAAGATGCATTATTCTATTAGTCTAACATAGCAGATCTTCCGAACCAAAAGACGGGCAAAGCTGCAGTGAGTCTGAGTGTAAAACGGTCCTTGATAACCACTTGTTTTTAAACCCTCCATGTTAACTCCAACTGGGTATTAATCTTATTATCCCAAGCAGGCTTACCTAACACTATCAATAATAGATCAATAGATTAAGATGGACTAGCGATACTTATTGATGTCCATACCTGGAAGTCTGTGCATACACAGATGTCTGCAAAGACTTACGTACAGCGCTAGCTATCCTTCCCATCATAATAAGCAGAAATTGAAAAAAGGAACAATTAAGATGATGAGCTAGACTGACAATATTAGAAGAGCTTTATAAATCTACTTATTAGCCCAAATAATCTAAAAATCAGCAGAGAAATGCATTTGTTTGCAGCTCAGCGCCAGAAAGGGCATTTCTGGTAACTCACACATTGCTGTCCCCTTGGCTCCTGGTATGGTATGTTCGTCTTCCCGCTGTCTTTCCATTCCTTAATTCCACAGCAGGCAGTTCTTTGAAATAACAGCAAAACTGCTCAATGTTACTATTTTAAAAGGAAGTGAAGAAAATTATTTTTTAAAGAATTTAAAAGACAGTAAAAAAGGTTATATAAAATCTATACAAGAATTTTCAAAAGGCAATCTTTCAGTTGCCTCGCTATCTAGTACTCAGTGCAATTCTGTTTCTTTGCTATTCCCTCACTCTAAGAAATTGTAGATACACAACGTGTGGGGTGAACAAATGACTTAAAAGTAAACCTCTCTTAAAAAAATTCCATTTCCCCTCCATCACAGGTCATCCTGTCCATGCCTCCTTCCGTATCTCCCCTGCTCTCGCCTTGAACTTCCTATCAGACTGCTAGTCACCCTGCCTTACTTCCCCAGTGCTGAGGTTACAGGCATGCACCAGCACACCCGTTAGAGAAGGAAAAGAGAAGCTAAAAGAAACAGACTGTTGAAAACATAAAAGTTCCCTGTCTGAGAGCTGCATCTGTCCTGTAGGCTTTGTTTCTGAACCCCTAGGGAACTTATGGGGAACCTGGTTCAGAGCTTATTTCAGCCACTAGTTAAGTCTCCAAATGAAGTAGGAAGCATATCCTCAGTTTTACTGATGAGGAAAAAAGCACAGGGACTAAAGTTAGAGGCAGAAAACAGTCTCTGAACACTGAGCCTTGTTCTTGGTCTGTAATGTCAAATATGTAAACCTCTGACTGTAACATTCATTACCTGAGTGACTGAAGGATAGCATTCATGAAACACGTGTTGCCCAAATTCCGAAGGCCTGTGGCACAAATGGCAGTCGTACTTCCCTGTAACATGGAAGAGGCCATCAGCATGGCTCACTGCTCCAAACTCCAACACTAGCCAAGGTCTCTGAAACTCTAGCACCATGTCTATCTGGAAATACTCCTTTCCGTTTTCTGCCCAGTGAATACTTCAAACTCTCTAGGCTATGTGAGGGCATGGATATTTTAGCATCTGTTTCTGAGAAAATAAGCATCAAGAAGTGCCACAGATGCAAGCAAACAGGGAAATACATTTTACAAGATCCTACTAAAAATATAAACTGAAAATCACAAACATGTAAACCCCAACTTTTAACTGAAAAGCATACTCAAGTGACAGATGTTTTCCTAGCAATGGGCATGCACCATAAAATGCTACCTGAACCGAGGCTTGGTTTTCTAAAGATGTCTGAATACTACACAAGGAGGTAAATCCTCCAGTCCAACCCAAACATCTCTGCCTGTAATTCAGATGGCTGAGACAGCACCTTAGCTATTTCTGTTAGGATTCAGGCATCTATCTGTACTGGCCTGTCCTTGGGGTCCTGACAGAATATGCCCTCAGCTGCAGCCACTAAGAGCACCACCTGTGCACATTCACTATGTTCCCCTTTAAAAGGGTCCTGTCCACCTCCCATCTTCCTCTCCTTCTCCTTCCCTCCCCCCTTCCTTCTCTAACTGTCTCTCTGTCTCTCCTCTCTCCCTCTCTCTTCTGCTGCTCCTGGCCCCAGGATAGTCTCCCCTCCCCCCTTTTCCCATTCACTTTCCCCTAATAAAAACCCCTCCACCCAAGCATCTTTCTCTCAAGCATCTATTCACCCCCCACCCCTTTCAGTTTTTCAAGACACGGTTTCTTTGTGTAACAATCCTGGCTGTCCTTGAACTTGCTTTGTAGACCAGGCTGGCCTTGAACCACTGAGATCCTCCTGCCTCTGCCTCCAAGTGCTAGAATTAAAGACATGTGCTGCCGCCATCACCCAGCTTGTTTTTTTTTTTCAATTATGACAATTTCTTTAAAACTTTAAGCATAGGTCCAGTGACAGCAAAGGGTTAAATGCAAGGCAAAAATGCATCTGGGTCATTTAAATATATGTAGTAACTTTAAAACTGTTAACTCATGAGTGGCTTCCAAAATGAAGATAAATACTTCCATAATGAAATTACATTAATAGAGCCCTGAGGCAAAAAAAAAAAAAAAGCAAAACCAACAAACAAACAAACAAAACCCTACCAAAAGTTCAGACCAAAAGAATCTGGGGAACTGTACTCGATAGTTTTATATCAACTTGACATAAGCTGGAGTCATCAGAGAGGAGAGAACCTCAAGAAAATGCCTTCATAAGACCAGGCTGTAGGCAAACCTATGGGGAATTTTCTTAATTGGTGACTGATGGGGAGGGCCCAGGACAGGTGATCCTAGTTCTATAACAAGCCAGGGGGAGTAAGCCAGTAAGCAGCACCCCTCCATGGCTCTGCATCAGCTCCTACTTTCAGGTTTCTGACCTGTTTGAGTTCCTGTTCTGACTTCCCGTGATGATCACCTGTGGTATAGAAGTGTAAACCAAACAAACTCTTCTTGGAGCTGCTTTGGTCATGTTTCATCATGGCAACAGTAACTCTAAGACTTTACCAGAAGAAAACAGTATCTTAGAGAGCACCACAGAAGGTTACCCGAGTAAGCACTAACAGTGAACTGCTGGGACAGGGTGTGCAGGCCATGGTGGGCACACCTTTAATCCCAGAACTTGTAGGCAGAAACAAGTTGAATTTTTAGTTCAAGGCCAGCCTGGTCTACATACAAAGTTCCAGGCTGACCAGGACTATATAGTGAGACCCTGTCTCAAACAACAATAATGAAACAAACAAAAACCCCACAAAAACAAAACAAAACAGTGAACTGCCTTGCAGGGTGGTATATGCCTTTAATCCAAACATTGGGGAGGCAGAGGCAGGTAGAGCTCTGAGTTTGGGACCAACCTTGTCTACGTAGAGTTTTCTAGGATAGCCATAGGTTCATAGACCACCTCCAAAGGGGGAGGAGTGTTAAAGTGTCAAACTTTTTTTGCAAAAACACTTCAAATCAAGACACATTAATAAAAGTTTATAACAGGCCGGGCGGTGGTGTCGCACGCCTTTAATCCCAGCACTCGGGAGGCAGAGGCAGGCGGATCTCTGTGAGTTCGAGGCCGGGCTGGACCGATAGCCTCCTAAACAACACAGAGAAACCAAACCCTGTCTCATAAAAACCAAAAAAAAAAAAAAAAAAAAAGTTTATAACAGGTACGAACCCTTGTTAGAGCTGTAACAAATAGTGATTATATCTTAACTCTTACATAGGAATAAATTTTAATTACTCACATTTACTTTTAATAACTTGCTGTTTAGTGATGAGTTTTCCAATAATTTTCTTTTTCTATGCCTGTCAGCTGTAAAAGCCGAGCTATTAAAATATAAACAGACAGTTAAAAAAAAGACATTAATGAATACATGCTACATAGTAGGCTAAACCCAAGCTGCTCTCAGCATCTAAAGCAGAGTCCTGCCTGGCTTGCTTCATGGGGCCGTCAAGTCACCACCAGGCCCACTAGTATCTGAAGTGAGCTGAGGCTTTTCACTTCCCTGGAAATCCACACTGCCCCTCCACAGCAGGAGAGAGTAGCCTATGCTACTCCCAACAAGGCTGGCCAGGAGTTGTGGTCTGTAAGATATACCAGCCCTAACACCACTCTATCTACCCAAGAGATTATGAAGCTTCAAAACCCAGACCTGTTCATCATGACAACAGGAAAACCCTGGTCTTACATGATTGATAGGAAACGTAACAGCTAGTCTCAAATCATATGCTGTTTGTTTCTTAATGTGGAGTGGACTGCCTTCATTCGGTCTACTTCAGTCTGTGAGGAATGAGCTAGCACAAGGACATAGGCATGCATAAACTCACCATCTGATTTAGTTATACTGCAAAGGACATTTCAAAATAAATCCTTACTACATTAGAAAAATTTTTGCTTAATTCATCAGTGTAACTCCCATCCTATAAATATCTCCTTAAGGTTACTAACAGGAGAACTAATCTGAAGAAAAGTATCACTGAACAGTACAGGCTGTAAGTCTGTCAACTCTTTTCTATACTGACATTACCAAACACACGCTTATTTTTCTTTCTATAATTTCCACATGAACTACAATATCTTTGGAACACAGGTCTAATATCAATTGCTTCCAGCCACTTGTGACCTTTGGTGACAAGATGCAGGGACTAATTCCAGCATTCAACCAGTTCTGGAAATGAAGTCATACAAACAAATGTTCATGCTATTTAGTAAACATGACTAATACCTTTAGGGTTTAAACTACCTAAACACAGCATTTGACTTTGTAAAATACAAGTTACATTTTATTCTGTTATTCTCAAAATACAGTGCTCTAGATCAGTGGTTCTCAACCTGTGGGTCGCAATCCTTTTAGGGGTTAAACAACCCTTTCACAGGGGTCATAGATCAGATATTTACATTACTATTCATAACAGTAGCAAAATTACAGTTATGAAGTAGCATGAAGTAGCAATGAAAATAATTTTACAATTGGGAGTTACCTTAAAAGACAAAGCAGGAAGGTTGAGAACCACTGCTCTATACCTACACTATCTAACAGAATGATCACTCCTCACTATATGTAGCTATTTAAACTTAATTAAAAATTGAAAATCAGTTTCTCAGTGACTTGGAGGATTTTTAGGACCTGTCTCTAGGCATATATAGATGCTGCTCATCTCCAATGAAAGAACTAAATACACTTTGAAAAAGTTAGTTGTCAAAAGATGACACAAGTACCTAGACCCAAATGTGAATAACTATTATGATTCTTGCCTTTCGGTTTTATAATCTATTCAGGCAGAGAGAGATTAAAAAAAAAAACCACACACAAACAAACTTCAGTTAATAAAGACACCATATAGTGTTGGAACAGAAGTTTTTTTTTTTCTCTCCGTCTATTATTTTGAAATATTCTACTAGTTTACACTTATGGCATCAAGAGACACTCTAAATGGCATGTTTTTACAATCCTTTCAATACACCAATTGCAGAGATAAATCAGATGGACCTGACAATGCGGGTGATCTGTAATGAGCTACACAGATCTCACTTGGCATGCAGCTTCAAAGGCATTGCTAATGTGGATTTCTGTTTATCGTTTCAGTTCTGAGTCCAGGGAGTTTTATCTGAATAAGTAATTTGGCTACACCAAGACAAATTCTTCAGTCTCTTTAGGGTCACAAAGCTCTTTGTAATTCAAGTTCTATGTACTTTTCTACCAAGAAAAGGAAGAAAAGACTGAGGATCTAGCTGTGGTTTATTTGCAAAGTGCACACTCAGACACTTGAACCTAACTTCTCTTAAAATACAGAAATATGTCTTTCAAAGCAGATCTTCAATACATTCAACATAAGCGTTTTAATGCCAAATACTTGTATAATTATTTTAATGTCCTTTTATGAGGCTTCCTTACAACCACTAAATTCTTCCTTGTGAGTGAACTGAAGCATTTTTAACTTAATGGGTAGTAATTTAAAAACAGGCTATTGGACTCTGGATACGGTTTACGGAAAGTACTGAATGAAATATGGCCTGAGTTTCAGATATCTAAACCCAAGGCTTTGTTTATCAACATTCCAACTGCATTTATATCACACTGGATACAAAGTTCTCAATACCCTACTCAGTGACTGAGTGGCCCCTCCCCTTTCAGGACCCACTACTCACTTTTCCAAGTTCTGTAAGTGTTCTCTCACTTTCTGCACCAGGCCCAGCTTGGTGTCATTGACCACGAAATCATCACAACGATAACTGCAAAGAAAGCACTAATCAGTGTGTGTAAAGAGCTTGAGGAGAGCACACCAGAGGGCACTGGGATGCCCAGCTGTTGCCAACAGTCAGAGGCTCTGCAAGCCACTGTGCAGAACTAAGCTTAAAAGAGGATTTGGACTCCATAATGGAATGTTTTTAAGAGCCTTTTCTTACAGCCACATAGGCAGTGACCACTAGCATTTTTTCACGATCTTATTCAAAAAGCTCTTCAGTGCTTCTTTTGAAATAAGCTGCTTCATGGGCTGCTTTTTGTTAGTGAAGCTGTACAGAAAGGGGGGAAAAAGTGCCCATTTTTTCCTGGTAGCATTAAGCCTCATACCTTACAGTGATACTTCTCAACCCAAATTAATGGGCAGTTTGGGGAAGGAGAAACTAAAGTGAAAAGTAGAGAAAAGGTAATCCACCTGCAGACATATCTGCAGAGAAAAATTTTAAAACTCACATTAAACGTTTAATTAATAGAAAGAAAATTCTGATGAGTTGGAAAGATTTCCAGTCCTAGGCTGCATCTTTCAGTATAGTGATAAGGCTTTGAGAAAAAAATGGTTACAGTATTTTTAAAAATTGATAGTTTAGGGACTGGGGAGATGGCTCAGCGGTTAAAAGCACTGGCTGCTCTTCCAAAGGACCCAGGTTCAACCATCACCCACATGGCAGCTCACAACTGTCTGTGACTCCTCTTCCAGGATATCTGATTCCTCATTCGGACTACTTGCAGGCAAAACACTAATGTATATAAAATAAAATAAATAAATTACCAAAAAATGAAATTAAAAAAAAATTGATAGTTTATAAGCTTGAGACAGCCTGGTCTACAAGAGCTAGTTCAGGACAGCCTCCAAAGCCACGGAGAAACTGTCTCAAAAAATAGAAGAAAGAAAAAGAAAAATTGAAAAATTTTGATAGCAAGTCAATAAGCAAATAATATAAGGAATTACACAAAATAAACTTGGACTTGGACTTATACACTAGCATTTAGGTTTTTCCTGAAGGAGGTCAGTTTTAACAAAAACTCACAGACTAGGACTCAGGGGTTTTTCTGTTGTTTTAAATATGCAGCTTTTGCATAAAAACACTTGTTTATTAAGTACCAAAAAATAACAAAAAGAGCATTCTGAGCAGACAAAATTTTAAAAGCACAACAATTAGTAAAAAGTAGGTCATCTGTTACAGAATCCAAAAATGTGTCCTATATATATCAAAATAGTTGATAAAAAAATGGAAGTTACAGGGGAAAATAATTTAAGAAAACAATCACAGACAAACCCAAAAGCAGTGAAAATTTAAGTGAACCTATTAAAAAGACTTTAGAACATCTCTTAGAAGATTACTAAACACACACCCTCACAAACTGACCACCCACACTTGTCAATCAGAATTTCTCTAAGATAGTCTTCAAGTTCTCCAGGTCAACTCCTAGTAGTCCCGCAAACTTCCACACCCTGAGCACAATCATTCTTCCTAGAATCAAGATACCTACAAGAGAGGTTCAATTATCCCTCCTCTCAGCATATGTATTAGGGGGTAAGGCAACCTTATCTTGAAAACCTGAGCTTCAGGCACTTGGTACCTCAGTGAACATTAAGCATTCTCTGAAGAGTGAATTACATTTTTATTTTGTATAAATTAGTACATATCATTTAGATAAAACAGTACCCAAGTGTTCAAAACAAAAACCACTGCCAAGTGCCAACATTTACTAGGAGATTCGGTCTAAGAACAACTTCAGATCACAAGATGCCACTCCATGTAAATGAGAAGTAACCCTTTCACTGCTTCCTGAAGGTGGTTGCTTTGTTTAAATAAACAAAGGGTTTCAAATTAAGTAACTGGTTTGCTTCTTAAAGTATCGCTTTTGGTATATGACATGGACTCAGCCAAGGATATAAAATTACATTGGTTAAAGTAATTTTTTATATATTGAAATATATATAATTACTTATAACTTTGCCCTGTTCTTAGCCAGCCTGGCTCAAGTAGGTCAAATTGTTTTCTCTCTCTAAATGAACCACTCTGCTTTCATTACTAAATTGTAGAGGAGTGCTAATGTGGCTGAACACCAACAAAACTGAACTGATTTTTAGAAAGTTTCATTAATCTGTTCCCTCAACAACCAAGACAGTGTCAAACCTTTTCCTATTAGCCACAGCTTCAGTCTGCTGGACTATATTTTGCTTTCACCCTTAAAATGTAAGCTGTGACAGTGTATAGGCAAGATGCCTGCATCATTTCTAGATTACACAGAACATCAACAATCTAATATCATCCCTAGAAAACAATGGAGAAATGTGGTATGCTTATATCAGCACGTCATGCAAATAGCATCAGTCACAGGAATATCTAAATAAATTATGATTGATACACAAACTGAAATATCAATTATAATCATTTTCAAGATGAAAATTAAGAACGAGACCCTAAGTTTATACCCACTGTTCACATAAAAATGGCATGGTAGCATGAGACTATGATCCCAGTACTGGGGAGTATGAGGAGTGGGCACAGAGATGAGAGAATACTTAGGGCTTCTTAGTTGCCAACAAGGTCCAGGTTCAAACAAAACAAAACCAAAAAAGAAGATGAAGAGCAATGAGGAGGACTCCTAATCTGACCGCTGGCCTCCAGATATACACACACAGGCAATTTTAACCATAGATATGTGCACGCGTGCATATACTATACACACAAGAATACGGAGAAAATTGGTTTTTTTCCAAAACAGGGATTCTTACCAGGTAGTGGTGCCACACACCTTTAATCCCAGCACTCGGGAGGCAGGCAGATTTCTGTGAGTTTGAGGCCAGCCTGGTATACAAAGCAAGTCCAGGACAGCCAGTGCTGTTACACTGAGAAACCCTGTCTCGAAAACCAAAAAACAAAACAAACAAACAAAACAGGGATCCTCTGTGTAACCTTGTCTATCCTAGTTCTGGCTGTGTAGACCAGACTGGTCTTGAACTCAAGAGATCTGCCTGCCTCTGCCTCCCAAGTGCTGGATTAAAGATGTGTGTCACCATGCCAGGCCTACCTAACTTTTTTTTCAAAACAGGGAGTAACTTTAATGTTGAGATAAAAATATACTATTGAGACAGAAATAAGTAAAGATTAGAAGAAAATTTAAATACCTTAAAAGGAGGTATGTCACAACTAAAGAACAGTTATTGCAATTTGCTATAGAAAAAAATAAAATGCTATGTAAAAGACTTTTTGAGATAATAAATCACACACAAAAAAAGAATTTTTCAGGCTAGAGAGGTGGCTCAGAGGTGAAGAGCACTGACTACTCTTCCATCGATCTTGAGTTCAATTCCCAACAATTACATGGTGACTCACAACCATCTGTAACGAGGTCTGGTGCGCTCTTCAGGCATGCAGACATACATGGAGACAGAACACTGTATACATAGTAAATAAATAAATCTAAAAAAATAAAGTGAAATAAAAGGATTTTCATAAATTAACATTAAAAACTTGCCTTTTGATAAAAATAAATAACTGAAGAAATCAATTACAACCAATGAATGACATCAAAAATTAAGATAATTTTCAGAGGGCTTAGAGCACCAATTGGTTATCCAAAAGCAACTGATTAGCTCTTCGATCATACACATGGAGCAAGTTGTCATTTATGTATTTAGGAATACACACACATGCACATATGTATGTATGTAACAATTAAAGAAAAAGAGGCCATGAATTTGAGAGAGAACAAAGGGGCTACATGGGAGGGGTTGGAGGGAGGAAAGGGAAATGGGGAAAATGATATTATAATTTCAAAAAATAAAGTTGCTACTAAAAACCAGTAAGAAGTACTGAGGCTGGGCATAGTGGTGTATATCTTTAATCCCAGCATTTGGGAGGCAGAAGCAGGCAGATTGGATGGCCGTGAGTTTGAGTCTAGCCTAGTCTACATCGTGAATTCCAGGTCAGCCCAGCCAGGGTTACACAGTCAGAAAGAGAGAGATAAGATAGAGAGACAGATATAGATGATAGGTAGGTAGGTAAGTAGGTGGATGGATGGATGGATGGATGGATGGATGGATGGATGGATGGATGGATGGATGGATGGATGGGTGGGTGGGTGGGTGGATGGATGATAGAGCAGACAGGTAGCTAGCTAGCTAGCTAGGTAGACTGGTAGATGGGTAGACTGATACTTTGGGTGTGCTGTGTCTCAAATGTTATTATTTACAACTTTAACAAAAAAACTGATCTCAAGTGAGAGCTCTAGCTTAGCATTGCAGTGCTTCTTTATGTGATCCCAGCACTGCAAAGTGAAATAAATCAAAGTCATGCTGTAAACATTTTAAGATTTGTTTTTACATCTGTCACTTCCAGATGGATAGGAAAATTTCTATCAAGGCATTGTTCTGCCAGAGATCTGGATTTCTTGTTTCCCTTTTTAATTTGTTCCACCATGATGTATTTACTGCAAATATATATGATCTGAAATCACCAATATATCATGAAGACAGTGATTAAGTGTTTAAGATAAATACACAAACATAACTCATCACAGTTTACAGAATTATCTAAATAAATAGAAGATAATGAGTTTAGTGACCACGTATTTTCTACCAACATTGGCTGCTTGAGTTGTGGAAGAGTTTACCAAGGTTTATCCTGATGTCAGGCAAGATGTGTTGGCAGCCACACCTAATGCCAGCAGTCAAGAGGCTGAAGCAGTAGTAACATGAGTTGGAGGCCAGCTCAAGCTACACATCAACACCCGGTATCAAATAATAATAATAACTATCAGCATTATGTAAAATTTGCAACACTTGAGAAAAACATGAAGAATGTTAATATGCTCATGCAGATAAACTCTAAAGTTTCAGTTTGCACAGCACCCATTTGAATTTCATGAGATAATACAAGTTATTACAAGAGTTCATAGATTACTTGAACAGATGTATTTGTAATTGATAAAATTTCAAATCTGAATCAAATCAACTGCTCTCATGAGTCAGTTTTCTCAT